ATTTCAATTAACATTTATTGAACTCTTACTGTGTGGCAGACACATTTTATGCAGTAGGGCTACAAAAATAGATCCAGAGACATGGAAGCATGCTACAGACTGATGAATCTCAGGAAAGGGGAGGGGAGAGATTAACCAAAGAACTTATATGCATATATGCATAACCCATGGACACAGACAATAGTGCAGTGAAGGCCTGGGGAGGGGGTGGGAGCAGGGAGGAGGGTGTTAATGGGGAAAAAATGGGGATATCTGTAATACTTTCAACAACAAAGATAATTTTTAAAAAATGAATAAAACATGGCCTCGGTCTTCAAGGAGCATATGATGTTTCCTCTCCTTGTCTGCCCTTATCTATCTCATGTTATTTGACCTGTTGACTTGCTTTTGACTTTGTTGTATATGCATTAATTTTCACTGAGTTTAAATTTCAGGTGTGTCAAGCCACCTTTTGGGGATGTATAGCAGAATTAACAGATGATTTTGTTTTGAAGACAGTTTGAGTCCAGCTCTTGTGATCTGTTATTACCCTAGTAATTTACACTTTTTTCCTGTTTCATAATCTCTAAAGAAAGTATACATAAGATCTCAGAGCTGTTGTATAAACTGCACAGTTGAAGCCTTAGCATGAAGAAAATGGACATTTTAAATATTTTTTAATTGGTTTGAGAGAGAGAGGAAGGGAGGGGGAAGAGAGAGAAACACCGCTTTGTCCATTTATTTATGCATTCATTGGTTGATTCTTATATGTGCCCTGACCGGGGATTGAACTCACAACCCTGGTGCATCAGGATGACACTCCAACCAACTGAGCCACCCAGCCAGGGCCAACATTTTAAAAATTTAATAAGAGAAAAATCTTATCAGATATTAATTGCTTTGTTAACATGGTATTCATGAATTTGTCATCTTGATATCAGAAGTTTCCATAGTAGAAAATAAGTCAGATAACTTAAAATCAAACATTACTTTAAGTATCCCCTAAACATTCTATTAGACTTGTGAATAGTCATAATCCCATGTCATACACCTATAAAGGCTGAGTGTTAGCATTCCTTAGTTGGAGATTGGTTGGCTAACATTTAGCATGTACCTCCACCAAATTCAGACACACAAAAATGTGCTTTATAGCACAAACAAATGGACAACTTAATCCTCTTTTTGGGTTGAGACTCAGGCCCCTTTTAAAAAAACATCTTCACAGTCAGGTCACCAGATACCTCAAGGAGTGGAAATTGTCCATTGTCCTCTCTTTTCATCAGTACCTAGTAAGTTTTATAGTTTACATAATTCACTAGTAGTTTAGTTACTTAAACTTGAAATACACAGTCAATGCTCAGATCACTATATCTAGCTAAAAAGAACTCTGGCTAGTAGAACCTAGATTTATCACTTTTAAGATAGGATTATTGGGAAGTTTCTGCTAAGGCTCAGTCCCTTAGAACACAAAGGAGTAGTTCCAGATAATTTTTTATGGCTAATCTGACCACCATGTCCACATTTTCCACACACAGCATATTCACTACGCATCCACCCACCCCCATACCCTGTTGCATGCATATCTGTTCATTCATTAATGCTGTTGATCATACCACAAAATGCACTCTTTCTTGGAGCTGGTAACATCCAAAGGGGATTGTTGAGCCTCTGATTTCAAAGAGTATCCCAGAAAGCTTCATTTTTCTCTGTTCCAAAAATAAGTTTTTTAAAATGTACTGTATATTGTGGAAGAACACAAAATACTTGTTTTATCCAGTCTGTGTGTACAGAAATTAAATTCTAAAAAAGTGAACTCCACTTTTAAGCAGATAAAGAATTTCCACCATTTGTTTTCTATAATGTTTCGTATTTGGCTGGCCTGTGTTTTTGTATCTTTAAAAATGCCTCTAAGGCTCTTAAGTACCTGGCTTCAGTACTTTGGGCATTATATATTTAGAATGATTGAGAACTGGGGAATACAGGGTCTCTATCTTGTTTTCAGTGGTGGTGGAATTGACTTTCTGTAGCTCCAGTGTTACCTCTCAGGCTAGGTTTATATGTCTAGAATATAAAAAGTTAAAGGAATATAGTTGAGTCAATGTCATGAGTATCCCACATGAGATAATACAGGTCTGGAAAGAGCATTAAGCTTCATGTGATGTGAATGCACACATGCCTTTTAATGGATAACTATACGTACAAGGAATGTTTCAGTCTGAGGCTACCTAATTTTGCTGTTTTTATTCATCTCTTATGCTTTCTTCCATTGTGACAGGCTACATAAAGGTCAGAGTATCATTTCCATTTCTGAAAATGAGCTCTACAGATGTTTCAGCAGCTACTGTAGAGTTGTGCACATGTGTGTTACATGTGTCCAGATCAGTATAGTCAGCTAATTTCTAAATGCCTTGAAGTACAAATAAAGATTGGACAAATGGCATCATTATTATTATTTTTGGTCAGCTCTAGAGTAAAAATTTTCTACTTTGAAGTGTGATCTGTCTTTGAGATTAGGGCCTTAGGTCTGTATGTTTGTTGGTTGGTTTTTTAATTTATCAATTCATCTGAGACAACCAGAGGAGGTTCTCTAGAATTTTATAAAGACTATTTCCAGTAATTGTCTTATTATAAAGACTCATTGAACATTTTTACTTAAATTGTGTTTTTGTTTGGACACTTAATCCTTCAATGTAGTTGACTTACATTATTAAGTAAAACTAAAAAGATTCCTAGTCCCTTTAATTGCATCAGCTAAGATTCCTGATCTCAGTTCAAATTCTATTATCACTGACAGAAGAAGCTCACAGACCTCTGCCATGAAGGGGTTAAATTCTTTCATTAAGTATGTTTATGAGGGACCACAGCTATGCCGCCTGTACTGCCTTTTTTAAAGCTTTCTAGTTCACTAATCAAATGTATGTTAGATTGATTATTGTAAAAGTATAAACCATAGAAAATTTGACAAGATAGATGTGTAAATTATCCTTCTGACAGAACTAATGATGCACTCCAAGCACCTTCTGTTTTCCAGCACTTGGTGAGCGACTTCATTAAATATGCAATGGCTGTTGGGTGGCTTCTCAAATGACGGTTCAGTTCCTCGTGGAATTGCATTATTACTAGAGGTGTAAAACCAGGCAGACAAGCTCGCTGTTGGGCATCCTGCTGAGGTTCTAATGCGCTCCATCTTGTTGGAGCAGTTGTTAGCAGTCTTTTCAGGACAATTAGATCCATAACCACAGGACACATTCAGTGAAGCTATATTACAGATAACAGTGGAGACTGGCATTGACTGCTCCTCACCCCTCTCTGTGGAGCCGCCTCAGTGTGGGGAGTTTATAATAATGCCACTTCCGCCACTCACAGAATACTTACTTTTTTTTTTAATCCCTTGGAGCAAATCTGGAAATAACTGATTTGTAACTTTTTTTAAAGTTCTTAAAATCATAGGATATTTGAGGTGGAAAGACTTTATAGATTTTAATCCCTTTGCGGATGAGAAAAGTGACCCTGAAGCATTGTGGTGAGTTGTCCCTTAAGGAGATAGTAGGAGGTAGAGATTACAGGAATAGCTGGTAGAGATTATATGAATAGGAATTTGTACTGTTTGGCTTCTAGTTTTAGAGCTCTTTTAAATAAAATTTTTTGGTTTTGAATTTAAGATTTTTGTTCCTGCTGTACCTTGTTTTTCCCCATCTTAACACGAGTAATTTTTATTTTTTTATTTCTAGAAGCTAAACAGAAATATATTGCTTTCTGAGGACATCATGTTATTTGTTATTTTAATGGCAATTTGATGGTTTCCTGGAGAACTGGACACAAAAGATGCTTTGAATTGAGCTTGAAATGGTATTTAAGGTTTCCAGAAGGCAGATGCTGTGGCGTATCACTGCAGCCTGATAAATGGGAGTGCATTTTAGAATGACAGGCTGAATACTTCAATGAAGGAAGGTTTCCCGTTTCCATTGGCCAATTAAATCACTGTTGATGACTTTAGATCGTTAATGAACATTCTTGGAAAATGACCATTTGAATTCAGTTATTACAATAATACATTTGAAAAATACTAACCACAAATAGACCTATATGTAAATTAAAAGATTTATTCATTTCACTACAGATAAGTCAGCATATTGCTTTGCTTTTTGATGCCAAAGCAAATTGATATTCTAGAATTCTTTTACAGATTAAGTACATATCCTTTCTTACAAAAGTTCCACTTAGAAAGGTTATTTTTTTATTGGGTACCTTTTAAAAGATGATATATGCTGCTAGCCATTATATTACTTCATTATTTCAGAAAAAATTAGACCAGGAACAAAGAAGGGAAACATTATACAGTATATAAAAGCAGAGGATTAAGTTTAAGATGGATTAGGTGTTCGATTTATTTAGTGCCTAAAGAGATCCCTGATTTGGGGAAAACAATAGGAAGAAAGTAACTATGCAAGTTTATTTAAAAGTCATTTGAAAAGAATATGCAAATTGAAAAGCTACATAACCAGATTTTTTTTCTCCCTAAATCCAAGGTTCAGATTGTCTTAAAATTTTTAAAGCTTTTGTTCTCCTTGGAATATTTTTTGGGTGTGTATCCTGTCATTTTTGCTGTATTATACCCAACAGATTCACCTGAATATGATGTTTTTCTTGAGTTAACTTCATTTTCTCTGAAACTTTGGCTGTTTCGGTTGTTAAAACAGGAGGTGTGTTCTTTTGAAAAACATGTTTTTCTCATTTTGTTATTTGTAAAATGGGCAGTAATGTCAGTCCAAGCTTTCTTCATCTTCATTTTACAGTTTACAGAAAAAGGAGACACTGCGGAGCACAGGCTTCCCCTGGGAGTACATTGCGCTTAATGAGCTTGATAGTCTGGTGGGCTCAATAAATCAAATAAAGCAAAACATTTCTCATTTTTGAATAAAAGCATTTATCACACAGTGTTTGTTCATTCGTGGTCACAAGATTGATTGGTTCCCAGCATCACAGTGTATATTGAAGCATTTTTTATTTTGTTTTTCCAGTGGGCAAGTTACGGAAGCAGTGGCTAAAGGAAAGTATCTCTGATGTCGGCTTTGGGATGCTGAAGTCTGTCAAGGAATATGTGGACCCCAAAAACATCTTTGGAAACAGAAACCTTTTATAAATCCATTACTATTGTTACAAAAAAAAGTCACTTTTTTTTAAAAGTCTTCAACTATGGTTATGCCAGTAATCATATGTATCATGGACTGTATTTCAGCTACATTTGTTTGTTGATTTAACATAAGTTTGTTTCATTCTGTAGTTTGTTTTGTTTCTACATTTATGGGTTGACAGATGGTATTCCTAAGTCTCTCTCATTTGGTTGTCATTTCTAATTTTAGTCAGGCAGCGAAAGTCTGCCAGTTGTTATTTCAGAGGACGATGCTGCCAGGTGTTTTGTATTGATGTTTCCTCTTGGGAACAAAGGCAGATTTTGGTGTCATCTATTGGTTTTTCAGCCTCTTTTTAAAAACATTTTAAAATATCTCTGGGAAGCAGATCTTTTGGGCAAGATTCCACTAGGAGTGATACCCATGTATGTTTAAGAGCGCATTCTAGTGTGAGTGGGCCTGTAAGGGAGGATACTTATGAATCAGTATTGGAAGCCTGTTACTTACGATGCTCTCAGTTCTGTAAGGTGCTTGGCCTACCTTTTTTTGAAATTAGTATACAATTATAAAACTTTAAATCATTAATATACAAATTATTCTGTTTGGGGACACATTTTTGTTCTCCATTTTTCTGTTTCTACTGAAGTATGAGCTGTATTTGTATCACCGAGATAACCTATTGTTATATCCTATTTCATTCATAATATGTTTTATAAGAAAAGCTGACGTATTACTCATTGTATGTGAAGAACAGGTTTACCATGAAATGTATGCCTTTATTCAACTTACAGTCCTAATGTTTGTGATTTCACATTCTTGTTGCTGAGATGCAGAAGCAGCAACAGGAGAGAAGGAAGACTCCTTACACCCAATGTCTCCAGTTCAAAGAATTGTTTGGCTAAAGAAACACAGTCATCATTCAGCTATTGAATTTGAAAGCCTCAACAGTTTCAATGATAAATTCTTTTTTTTTAAATTAACCCAAACAACATGATACGTTTTCATATAAAAGTAAAATTTCAGTTTAGTTTTTAATAATGGTTTAATGCCTTTTTTGAATTACTGGTTTAACTTAAATTTTAAAAAACTGTAATGTATTAATATACATGCATAATCAAAAGTTTGAAATATCATATTTCTTAATAGAACATTAATCACATTTAGCAAACTTTTACATTCAAATCTGGGTATTAAAATACGTGAAATGATTACTTTGAATCACTGTCAAGGTTCATGATACACATTTTGAGATGGATTCTTTTCTTAATGCAATACCTAACTTTTGATAATTTTTTAAAATTAGTATTTGATCAGATAATGTAGGTCAAAACGCACATGATCCTGTAAAAGGACACGCTGTCTGTCTGTGTAGCAACAGCTCCAGAATATTTTTGGGCAGTTTGATACATTTTATATCTGAAGTAGCCTTAACCAGAAGAGTAAAAATTTAAAATTGACAAAATGGTATTTTTAAGACTTCAAAATGATAAATAACTTCTAATTAATAAAATTGGCTTCAAACTAATAAACTTAAATCTGTAAGAAAATCAAAATTAAATATTAGCTTAACAACATAAACTAAATACTGATGTATTAGAAGCTGCCTCTTTACATTCGTGATTTATTTTTAATTATAAAACTTCCAGCAGATCTGTGCTTAAAGCCCTTGATATTTGAAATAGTTGAATACTTGATGAGGAAATTACACTTTATTTGCCTTTAGAATTATAAAAATCTCAGCTTTATAAAATGCATCTACTCATGAAAGTGATTTCTCTAATTGGTAATAAAAATGTAAAATTTAATATGCTACTAATATCTCATTGGAGTGTATACATGTTTCTGAGTAATTTTTAAAAAATAAAACTTACAGATTCATAAGCAGATCCATTCCTTTGCATGTGATTGTTATAACATTCTTTCCCAGGGAGTTCAGATTTCAACAACCTCAGAAATCTGTATTTGATATTAGGAAACTATAAATGTAACACCTGAAATTGTTGTGTTCACTGTTCTACACGAACCTTGTGGAAATCAGTGATTTATGTCTTTGTTTTTCTTCTCCCTTGTTTGCAGGACTCCCCAACCTTGATTTTATAGTGATGACTACATTTTGTAGTTGGGGTCATTTCTATGGGCATCATTTTGAAACACATGAATACTCACCAGTGCTGTTTCACTCTGATTTAGTAAATCAGAAAGCCTTTTCCCCACTTTCATACCACACAGCTGAGGGGCGCCGCTGCATCTACTTAGTGTCTGTGGAGAGCTTTTTCTTGACTATGCACAGAAGCACTGAACCTTGCCTCGTATTTCTGAAAATGGCCTCATAAAAGTTAAAGCCCGGAGAACGTTGTTTCTGTGAGGCTTCTTAACTCATTTTGAATGCGTTTGTTTAAAATTTTAAAAAGTTGTGCCCTATTTGGTTTTCAGTACTACGTAACACTGACTTGTCTTTCTTAGTCGTGTTTCTAATATTTTATTTGATCCATGTCACATTTGGGTTGGGGTTTTAGTGGGAATGGGAACTTGCTGCTAGTGAGAAATGGCACTGAAACTAAAGACTCAGTGTGAACAGGCTTTATTGACCCTTAGAGTAACTTGCCTTAATGTTTGGTGCAATTTATAGCGCATAAGTGAATTTAGTCCTAAGCTGAGTAACTTGAGCTCTTTTAGTTTAGTAAGAATTGTAAAAGCCACTTGCTTATTGTGCCCAGCATATTACTACAAAGAGAGAGGATTAAATTCTTTCCTCTCCCTAGGAATTGAGTTTTCTCCCCAAATGCTTACATATTATATATAGTGCAATAACTTAAAAGTTATTGATGAAGCTGGAGCTTTCTGCTGTGCGTAGCCGTGTTGTGTTTTGGAAAACAAAAGTAAAGGGTGCACTTCCATCAGTGTGTACACCGTGCCGGATACAGACTTCCAAGGAAACCCCTTATAGCATATTCTCTTAGAAACTGCTAAATCCTAGCTTGCATTTCTGAAAATTCCTTTGTGCATGTTGGCTCCAGAGATTTTCCTGTGCTATATTCTTTTATAACAACAACTTCTTAACCATAGCTGATCAGGGAAGCTCAGCACACCCAAGCAGAAGCGTGTTGTCTTGGCTGTTCAAGTGGGGCTGGGTTTGTTGAGCATCTGTTCTATATAATGTGGAACACAAATAGTTATTTATTATGAATTGATGCACAGACTGCATGTGCTGGTGCTTGAGGCAGCCAAAATGGAATATTGTGGAAAGCATATCTACGTTTTAGGAAACACTGAGATAGGAATTCAAGACAGCTTTAATAGCTTTTTGTTTACCACTTAATATTTAGCAACTTTGATTTTAATTAGGGCTTAGCTCATGGGGTGGGGAACAAAAATAACAAGTGCCAGTTAGTATTGAGAATCCAGGCTCTCCTTTGGCTTCATAAGTTATGGAATCTTCACTTTGCCCAAGGCTTCTTTTTCCCAAATGAGTCACATGACTGTATATTCATTTAATTTTTATTAATTCCTGTTTCTTAAAAAGGAAACAACATAGACTTTGATGCTAAAGTCCAGAAAGCATAAAAGATTTTTTTAAACTATTAAAATATAGTGTTTGAGGATATAAATTACTCAGCTTTCTGCTTCTTAAGCCAAACAGTGTTTGTCTTTAGTATAAAGTTTAACTGTAAAAACTACTTGTAAATGTCAACAGATTGTAGAAACTTATATTACTAATAAAATGGACCTGGGTCTAAGGTTTTTTTTCCTTCAAAGGGAATGTGAAGCTGTTTGTTGTTCTGTGTGCATATGGGTTTTTCTTTCAACTTTAGTTTTTCATCTTCATGTTTTCACTGATTTGAAAATGAAACTTTCATAATTTTTTTAATGAAGCATAACCAAGTACAACCTAAATATAACTGAATCCCTTTCGATTTATAGCTGAGTGTATAGTTAGCTAGGTTTTATCACTCTGTTTTTTAAATCAATGTTATATTCCTAGGAGGTGGTTAGTCTCCTGTGAACCTGAAGCATTCCCCATTTGGATCTTGGAAAACCCTCAACGAATGAGCACTCCTGTGCTCTTCTAACTACAATTTCTTAACAAACGTGAGTAAGGACCACTCATATAGAACACGCTAAAAAACCATCACAGAATTAAGCACTTTAGTTCTGTGAACATAATAAGATTTCTTTTTTGGTTCTCAAAGGAGATTATTTTTCCTTAAGGAAAATAAACTAATGCATTAAGTATTATTAGGAACATTTTTCAGAGACTGAACTTCCAAATCTAAGAGAGAGAAAAGGGGGAAAAAAAGTTTTAGTGTGGATTTCTAAGTAGCATACATATTTTCTGTGTGTGTGTGTGTGTGTGTGTGTGTGTGTGACCCTCACTTGAAGATATGTTTACTGATTGGAGAGAGGAAGGAAAGAGAGAGAGAAAGAAACATCAGTCAGCTGCCTCAAGTACTCTCCCTGCTGGGTACCAAACCCACAACCTAGTCATGTGCCCCTGCTGGGAATCCGGCCCTTGACCTTTCGGTGTGGGGACAATGCTCCAACCAACCGAGCCACCCGGCAGGACCGTGTATGTTTGTTTTTAAGGCGGCTTAGTGTTGGCTGAACAACACGAGCTCCCTATGAAACACGTTCAACCCTTCAAGCAGTCTTGTTGACATATCCAAAAGGACAAGAAATGCTTGTACTAGTAGTTTCTATAATTAGCTTTTGAGCTTCTTAAAGAATATCCCCAAAAGATCACAGTGCCTTGTTGGGATATTTTTTTGTCATGAAATAGCCATTATTTAAAATAAATGGGAGATAATAAGTCTTTAAAAGACAGAGATTGTTCAGCAGTTCAAGGCTCTTCCTTTTCAAGAACATGCCAGAAATTAAGTAGCCGTATGTGGAAATACCGAGAGTGTTTCCCACAGTGTCGCTCCGGCTCACCGACTCGGGCGCATGTGACTGCCTGTATGGTGGCCGGACTCCCACACGCAGCCGCTCGGGTGACGGGGTTTCTGGGGTTTTCGGCCTTCCATTTTCATTCCTCCTGCCCGAGGGGGGCGGCGCCCTGATGTTCGCGTGCACAGCTGCCCGGGAGCGTGCGCGTGCGTGCGTGTGCGTGTGCATGTGTGTGCGTGTGCATGCGTGTGCGTGTGGGGGGGGCGTCTATCTTTCACGTTGTGTCAGTCCTTTTTTGTGTGATAGTGCCTTCAGAATAATGCATATTTCTGTTCCTGGACAATGATGAATCTTACAAGAAATATGTGTAGGTTGTATTTAATTTGTGTCCTTTTTTGCTAAGTGTGAAACTCTGGCTCTGATGCAACTTGAACAATATCCCGAGTCTTCCTCCGAGGCAGCACCGTCGTCCTGCCAGTACTGTAGTAATCTTTTGGGAACTACACGTGGGTAAGCACTTGTATGTAAGCCATTGTACTGCTGTAACTGATGCACACAAACAGTTCTTCTCTTTACGGTTATAGTCTAAAAGCGGATATGGAGTGGGAAGGAAAATTCCTGAGACATTCCAGCAGAGCTTTGTCAGTCGGGACTGAGCCATACTGTTTTCCACAAGGGCTCCACACATAGTCTATATACTGTGCTTCCAGTGTATGTTTTGCATTCTCCTTTTATTGCTTTTCCTAGACTGTACTGTTCTATAAGCAAATGCCCATGTGTGATTTTTAAGATGTGCTGGGAAAAAAAATAAAACAATACCAAAACCACGCAGTGTTACGGGAATTGTTGCTTTTTCCATGTTGATTCCGTTTAACTTTTGTTGACAGCTTCGTGCGATATGCAGAGAACAAATAGGATACAGTGTGTACCCATGAGCAGCCTCTCCGGTAGTGAAGTACATGGGCACCGGTGCTGATTTTGTCCCTGCCTGTGGCTCCCACACCGGAGGGAAGGTTGTAGCTGTCTGGGCTCTGGAATGATGGAGAATTAGACCTACTGAGCCCAGTTTTACTTGATACATTTCAATAATCACTTGCCACACTAAGACTTTAGCTCTTATTTAGTTAAAGAAAGCAATTTCCTAGCTGGCTTATATAAACTCAGACTGAATGAACCTTAGATATCATCTCATTTTATTTTTTCCCCAAACATAAAATTGCTGTCTAACCTCCCCCAGCCCCCAAGCCGTAAACAAATAACCAGTCTTCCTGAACATTTGTGACCAAATGGGTATTTACTGCCTTTTCAGGAAGCCTTTTCCAACTTCTAAAATATTTAGGTATTAAAAGGTTTTTGGTTTATTATACTGAAATCTGTCTCCTTCTTCTATCCATTAGTGTAACTTCAGTATTCTTTTGTCTTAAAGAATTGTCCAGTTGCTCTACTGAAGGGCAGCTCTTTGGGTATTTAAAGGCAGCTCATGTTCTCCCAGATCTTGTGTCAACTTCTGTTCCTGTCAGTTCTAGATCCTTCACCATCCTCTCATCTCTACATGTGCCCATTTGATATTCTTCAAGTTGAGGTGTCTGGGCCTGAATGACCCAGGGTAGTACCAATGATTTCCTTATTCTGTCCACTAATCATCTTTGGTGGACACTGCACTGTCATCTCACAAGGGACTTGAATTGAACACAGCTTGTCTTTTCTGCATGTGCCATTTTGTCCACATCTCCCTTGAAGGCTGATTTTTTAAAAGCCTCATTACTTACATTTATCCTCACTAAAATTTGTATCTTACTGGATTTAGTCTTAGATTTTAGAATCTTGACTCCTACCCAGAACATTTTGTGTCCCACCCAGTTTCTGGTCGTGAGTAGAATAAAGACGTGTACTGTCTGCTTGAATTCTCGCCCAGGCGATGGCAGGTATCTGCAGTGCATCCAGGCCTGCCCGGTAACACATTCATGAGCCTTTAGAGTTCAGGCAGCTACAAGTCCGCTTGACATGCCATTGTCACTCCATATTTTTACATTGTCCACAAATAGGCTTTTTCTTCAATGAGTCAACATTTATGCCAGACAAACATTCAACCTGCAATTACATTTACTTAATTGAACATTGTCAGCGGCCAGACTGAAACTGTTTACTATAGCTTGCTGCTCCGATTTCCTGTGCTACCCTATCAAAAAAACAAATGAGGTCTTGCTCCCATCACATTTACTTTTGCCTGTGTTCGCCCTCAGGCATTCCTCTGTCAATACACTCATAAACCCATTTTCTGCTGCATTTTTTGATATGATCTGTTGATTGGTCCTAAAATTGGCTGATGGACAACCTCGGAACTCAACATAGTTCTGCAACATCCTTTGTACTTTGTACCTCATTGTGCCAAGCTGAGAGGATACTCTTTAAAAATGACTGAAATTTGTCACTGTAAAGCTGTAAAATAACTCGGGAGAAGACGGAGTTCTAAAGTCTAAGAATACAGTGCAAAGGACTCTTATTCTGGAAATGGTGTGTATGCTCTTACTTTACCAACTACAAGTCACTTTCCCTATTGGGGACTCATTTCTTCTTTTGTAAAATGAAAATCTCTGAGGTCCTTTCTCAGTCTTAGTGACTCTGACTGAGTCTATGTATTTTTGCTGAATACTACCCTCGAATTGATTGTTGCATTAATAATTTACTTTTTAATTCACCCCTTATTAGCCAGACATTGTGTAGGCACTTAACCCTACACAAGAGGTAATGACTGTTTTCACAACAACCCTGTGAAGTGAGTGTATCATCCCCTTTTTCCTGGTGAAATAACAGGTTTAGTGAGGTTGAGTTACACTGTTGGTAGCTGGGTGGTGGCATTGCTGAGGCATTGTGCCAGGTCTGACCAAATCCAGTACCTCTTTGCTGGCTGCTTCTCTGCTCTACACTGCTTGTGCTGGGTAATCAGTCTATAGAATTTCTGCTTTTTAAAAAATTCTCACTTGACATTTTAATTGCTTTTTAGAGAGGGGGAGAGGGAGAGAGAGAAACATCGATTGGCTGCCTCAGTATGTGCCCCAACCGGGGATCAAACCTGCAACCTAGGTATGTGCCCTGACTGGGAATCAAACCTGTGACCTTTTAGTGTATGGCACAACACTCCAACCAACCAAGCCACACTGGCCAGGGCCAGAATTTCTGCTTTTTAAAGTAGATTATTAGTCACTGCCCTCTACAGAAGGGCACAAATAAAGAAACAGAGTCTCCTCCGGACTATGGAGTGGAAACCACTGTCTTCATGACTGTGCACCACAGAAACACCAGGAAGCCTTTTGTCTCAGATGCTGTCTTTCTTTGGAAATGTTTAATCCATTGATGCCTTTTTGAAACTCATGAAAGTGCTGTATTTGATGGACTTAATAAATTTGCATTTTTATAACTTTAATATTATATTCCTTTGAGCTGCACTTAAAAGTGTAAGAATAACCTGTTACTGTAAGTTATACATCTTCCTATAGAGAGATTGGAAATTGCACAGTTCCTTAAAATTGCTAACTTAAGAATTAAGGTTGCTGCTGAAGGATTTGAGCTACACAAGGGTACTCAAAAAGTTGCTTTTATCTTATAGCTAGAATGAAAGTATAAGTTTAGAACCTGGTGGTTACAGTAATGGTAATTATGTGGTTGAACAAACAAGAACCCAGAGTTACTCACACTAAGGGTGTCTGTAGCCCAGTAAGTGAATAAAAAAACCCCAAATCACTTTAATTCCAGTGGTAGGTCAACAAGGGATGAAAGGCTGTTAGTAAAAGGTGTATAGTGAGCTGCAAGTCACATCATTACTAGGAAGCTACTCCGTGTGACAGAATACCCTCAGGAAAGCACAACCTCCCAGATATGTCCATATCGCCCACAGGTATTGAGAAAAAGCCAGACCAAGGAACCTAAAGATGAGAAATTGTATTAGAAAATGCTGTTCACCTGAAATGAAAAGGTTTTCTTTGGTGATATTATCCTTTTAAAATTGGGTAGTTTAGAAAGCCATGCCCTGCTTATCTGGACAGACTTCTAGCACTACTAACCCTCACATGCCAGGATTATAGATGGGGCAGAGAGGTCAGAAAACTACTCCCTTAATGCTCCCTCTCCAAGCCGTTTACCCTTCTTATCTCACATTTCCTAGTAAGCTTATTTATTTGTGCATCTACCCAGTAGCCCTCTACAAATAAATAATTCTAACCTAGGGTCAAACCTATCACTGACATTCTGTATGGATTCCATCTGAGGTGCTCTTCTGAGGTATGAGAGGCCATACCTGTACGTTCCTATATCGCCCCCCTGGGAGGGAAGGTCATTTCCTATGATTACAGCTGTCTCATCACCCGATGACCCACCTCCATCTCACAGTTTTCCCATTTCCCAGTTGTCCATGAATGGGTTAGGGTTAGCCATTGTACACCTGACCTTTAAAAATGGCATTAGCGTGAACATTCCTGCCACAGCTGGGGCCAAATTCAAAGAAGGGCTGTCATGAAGAACATGTCATGTCACTGATCAAAGGAGTCGGCTTGGTTGTTCTGAACAGAAAGATCAAGCTCTTTTTCATGTCTGAGAAAAGAAACTATCTGTGTACAAATATATGCTCATATTCTGAACACATGTGGAGATGGGGAGGCTAATATTATGAAAAACTGGATTTAATATTTGATCCTTTAAAATATATTATGAAAAAATCTTAGAGGAGTAAAGCTTTAGAAATACAGGGAAATCTGTGTGTGTGTGTGTGTGTGTGTGTGTGTGTGTGTGTGTGTGTGTGTGTGAAGACAAGTGCTTTTAGTACCGAGTACATATATCCTAGGATCCTAGAACAAAGCTTTTCATCAGAGCTTTAGAAATGAAAGCCTTCATTCAAATGGCAAAATACGAAGTCATTGTAAAGTCATTAGCCTGTTAGTATCAATAAGCAGAGCTGAGTACTTTGAAGGTGAGTTTAAAAAAGCATATCCTAAAAATAAAGGAAAATAAGTGCCTGGGGAGTTAGGAATGCCCTCCTCACCATCCCAGTCTCCTCCAATAGGCGCGGCTCATGAGTCTGCTGTCACTAGGTAGCAATTTATCAATCCCGGTGGGTGCCTCTCTGGAGAACCACAGTAAGAAAGGGGACAAACGCCATGATTGACCTTTATTCCTTTACTCAGTGGTAGGAGCAGTCAGGATTTCCTGATGCATTACTCACCAGGAAATCCCAACTGCCCAGTGGCAAGGGGTTAAAAACTGTTCTGAAAAGCTTTTTATGTTCTGAAAAGCTAAGCTACACATAGATGCAAACCACAAACACACAGCACCTGGGTAAATAAAGTGTGGCTGAATAAAGGCCTGGCTATTTGCAAAAGGGAATCTGGAAAACATTTGCTTTTGGGTGGCTAACGTTACCTACACTTTATGCACCTTATGCTTTTTTTTTCCCCCCTTAAGAAAAAAGTAGTTTAGCGGAAATGTGCAAAATAAAATCAGAATTTTAACATGGCTGTTGAAAATAGATTTCAGTTCATTTACTTTCCAGATCTTAAGGGGCTATGAAGATTGAGAGGGGCACAGAGCTACTGCACAAAAAAGCAACAACACTTTGAGTACGAAAGTTAACATTTCCTAGAGATAGAATTGTGAAGAGGTCATTATTGATTATCTTCCAAATATGGGGTGAAACATAAATGGTAAATGGTATCATTATTAAAAATGCTATGAATTCAAGACCATTGGACTTTATAAGCCAAAATTTCTGATAGATTAATAGAACTTGAGCACCCAGGAGGTCATGTTACAGAGGATTTGTGCTGAGCATAGTTCATCTGAGTACCTATGTGGCTAAGTAATTTCTCCTTGAAGGAAAAAAAGCAATCTCATTATGGCAGGGGTTCACTAACTTTCAGTAGAAAACTATTAGGTTGAACCATAAGAAACTGCTACTTCTGTATGTCAAAAACTTTGAAAATCAGCAATTTCATATAATTCAACCTAATACTTTTTTTTTCTAAGCCAGGTCAAGTTGGTGTTGACTGATTTATGGAGAGAAAAGGGGTGGGAAAACTAATAGTAAAGATCTTGTATGGCACAGAAAATAAAACACCTAAGCAGAATTAGTGGAGTTCTTATTGGGAGGGTTCTGGGTGTGAAACTAGCATTGTGAAACTGCCAGATGAAGTTGCAGAATTGACCTTTTCATCTGTGATGGAGATAGAAGTTTGGTGGGGTCATGGGAATATGTAGATTTTTGCTTACCGAAGAGGATACAACACGCAAACTTAGCATTAACATATCCTAAGTAGGAAACACAAAGGTAGGAATTAGAACAGAATTCTCAGGGTACCTCTACTATAAGTCACTCTGAGGAATGAATGAGAGCAGTTAGGAAAAAAGTAATATTATATCTATCTTGTTCATATATTCAAATTAACAAATGGAACAAAAGTAAACCATGCCCTACAACATAGAACCATAATTTTATTAAGAGTACAATATTTACCACTGAGTTTTGCACACTTAAAATAAACATAACCTAAATAATTTTGGTTACATAGAGCATTACACCTATATCAAAAAACCCTGGCAAAACATCCTAAACTCTATGTAAAGTGTATGCATTACAAATGAATATAATTATGAGGGTAAATGGTGAGATGAGAACACACAATCCCTAATGTTATTATTAAAGGGCTAAAAATTCTGTACATTAATCAGTGAGTTCTAGGCTTGACGGTGCTAAGTCCTTGGATAATGTAGTCCTTGTGCAGGTAACTCTCAAAATACAACAAAGCACAAATGATAACAAAGGAGAGGTAACATAGGCATTACAAGTTCTAATACATACAGTGTACCCATTCTGTTTTGAATTTTTCATAAATATATGTGTCAAAATTCTTATATTTCACTTAGTGAAGATTTTAAAAACAGGTTAATCAAATTATTTTTATTATAATTGTAAAGTATACAAAGTTCAACATGTAGCAAAGTAAAGATGCCAATGGCTAAATACAAATAAAAGAGTACAAAATACAGATAAAAAGCCATTAATGATATAAGCCATTATCCAACATGACTATAAGTCATTATCTGACATGACTACATATTCCATCCTATAATCTCATAAATCAAAGCTTTTAACTGTCTGGATTCATAGGTGACTGTATTCTTTCCAATATGCATTCTTTCTTCTTCCAGGGGTTGTTCAATAACAGCAGGTATGCTCCTGCCATAAAGTTCACAGTGTTCTAGAAACTGAATGCATTCCTGAATAACACTATCACGAAGCATGATCGTGTGTTTTGACATGTTTTCTAATAAGGACAAGAAGCATCTTTTGGCATAATACCAGGTATCAGTTCCCAATTTTTTATTATAAGGTTCTAAGCTTTTGATAACTCGAGAAATCCCAAAGTCATAATTTCCTTTGGCACAGTAAAGTGTCCCTATCACCAAATTCACAATGCAGAGATGGTAGGTTTTCTTATCTGGGTCATCATAGGAGAGCTGCTCTTCCTCCTTTTCAATCTTCCTCATCAGTTCCTCAGCTTCTTCATTTTGACTTGTCATAATATATGAAACACAGAGGTTAGCCAGTACAATAGCACTGACATTCAGGATGTTGTTATAATGCTTCTTGACTATGGGCTCATAAAAACCGATGGCTTCTTTGTATTTGTTTTCCTGCATGAACAGAACATGAGCCACATTCAGTTTCCACACATCATGGTCATTGCAGAATTCCACAGATTTGCGGAAGATCTTTTCCACCATTGAATAATTTTCAAGGTTCCAGTAGATTTTTGCCTGGGCCATCAACACAGGAATATACTTCTCCAGGATGTCATCATATTCATTCACTGCCTTCTTGACAGCTTCATCATCTCTATTGTGTCTTGCTTCCTGCACTTGTTTAGTGAGT